TTTTTTGAGGCAGAGTCTCGCTCTGTTGCCCAGGTTCAAGTACAGTGGCGTGATCTCAGGTCACTACAACCTCTGCTTCCTGGGTTCGAGCAATTCTTCTGTCTCAGCCTCCCTAGTAGCTGGGATTACAGGTGCTCACTACCACGCCCAGCTAATTTTTTTGTAGTTTTAGTAGAGGTGGGGCTTTACCATGTTTGCCAGGTTGATCTCAAACTCCTGACCTCAGGCAATCTGCCTGCCTTGGCCTCCCAAAGTGCTGGGATTATAGACATGAGCCACCGTGTCCAGCCTAATTTTTTTTTCTATGCTATACTTCTGTCAATCGAAAAGAGGCATTGCAGACTGAGGAACAGGTGTGGTATGGAGGCCTGAAATAGCATATTTTAGGAGCCTGTTATGATAGGGCATTTGCTTTGTAGATTCAGGTGGAAGAAAAGAAGCTGGAAAGGCCTTCAGGGGCCAGGTCATGATGAAATCATTATTGGAGACTTTAGGGAAGTGGTAAGGATGTAAGCCATAATTCAGGGAGTTGAGTACTAACAGAGATGAGAGTATGGCAAAGGTAAGTATGTACTACTTTTTAAAGGTGCTCTGGGAAGGTAAATATTCTAAATCTCATTTATAGCACTGACACTTCTTAAAGAAATCAGTTTAATATCAAAGGTTATTGTCCAATACCTTGCAATCCATGGATACTCAAGGAATTAAATGCTCCTAAAGGCCTGGTGCAGTGGCTCATACCTGTAATCTCAGCACTTTGGGAGGCTGATGTGAGCAGATAAGCTGAATTCAGGAGTTCGAGACCGGCTTGGCTAACATGGTGAAGCCCCAACTCTACTAAAAATACAAAAAAATTTAGCCAGGCACGCCTGTAATCCCAGCTACTTAGGAGGCTGAGGCGGGAAAATTGCTTGAACTTGGGAGGTGGTAGTATTGCAGTGAGTCAAGATCATAAGCACTCCAGCCTGGATGACAGAGCTGAGACTCCAAAAACAAAAAGAAAGGAAAAAGAAGGCCGCGTGTGGTGGCTCATGCCTGTAATTCCAGAACTTTGGGAGGCTGAGGCAGGTGGATCATGAGGTCAGAAGCTCGAGACCAGCCTGGCTAACATGGTGAAACCCCATTTCTATTAAAAATGCAAAAGTTAGCCGGGCCGTGGTGGCATGCGCCTGTAATCCCAGCTACTAAGGGGGCGGAGGCAGGAGAATCACTTGAACCCAGGAAATGGAAGTTGCTGTGAGCCAAGATCGTGCCACTGTACTCCAGCCTGGGCAACAGAGTGAGACTCTGTCAAAAAAAAAAAAAAAAGAAAGAGAAAAAAGAAATTAAATGCTCTCAGGATTAAAGTTCATAAAATTTGAAAGGTATAAATGATTTTGAGAATTGCCATAAAGGATAGGACAACAGTACAATAGGCCCTATCCATGGGTTCCACATCTGTGGATTCAACCAACCACAGATTGATTGAACATATTTGTGGAGGGGGAAACAATTTAAAAAATACAATTAAAAAATAAAAATTATAGTATAACAATTATTTACATAGCATTGACATTGTATTAGGTATTATAAGTAATCTGAGATAATTAAAATATTTGGGAGGATATTCACATATATACAGGTTATATGTGAATACTACACCATTTTATATAAAGGACTTGACTATCCATGGATTTTGGTATTCTCAAGGGGTCCTGGAACCAATCCCCCACAGATATCAAGAGAGGACTATACATCTTGTCTACACTAGTTGATCCTTCACGTTAGCATCAAGGGAAAGCATACTGCCTTGTCAATGCCAACCTCAAAGAGGTTTGGGAGGGGTCTCTAAACACCCCTAACTTCCTTTAACCATCTTTTATTAATGTCTTTAAGCTCTGGAATGTATATTTTCCACTTCCACTAGTCCTAAGGGTCATCAGTCCTCTAAATTACTACCTGTTAAAGTTTCTCTCAGTTTTTCTAGGCTTTCTCTCTAGTTCTCATGTTGTGATATTTGGTCAAAAGTGGAAGAAATATGGAAAAAGAGCAAATACTTTGGTGGAATTAGATGGTTTAAAATGTCAGCTCTAGGCTGGGCGTGGTGGTCCATGCCTGTAATCCCAGTACTTTGGGAGGCTGAGGTGGGTGGATCATTTGAGGTCAGGAGTTTGAGACCAGCCTGGCCAACATAGTGAAACTCTACCTCTACTAAAAATACAAAAATTAGCTGGGCGTAGTGGCAGGTGCCTGTAATCCCAGCTACTTGGGAGGCTGAGGCAGGAGAACTGCTTGAACCTGAGAGGTGGAGGTTGCAGTGAGCTGAGATTGCAACACTGCACTCCAGCCCGGGTGACAGAGTGAGATTCTGTCTCAAAAATAAAGAAATGAATAAATAAACTGTCAGCTCTACCATTTACCAGCAATATGACCTTAGCCTAATTACTTAAAATTCCTTGTTCTCCACATATGAAACAGGGATACCATTTGCTACTTGCTTCTTAGGGCTGCAGTGAGTATTACAGAAGACATGTACCAAGTTTTAAAACACTGCCTGGCACATAGAAGGCTCTCAATAAATATTAATTGCTGTAACTTCCTTGTACCGTGTGTTATGAACGCCCTTTAAGTTAAAAGATTTCACGATTAGTGTTTTCCTTTTCAAATCCCACTCTTAAAACTTTTTTTTTAAATAGAAGCAACTAAAGGTTAACACTGGAACAGTCAACTTGATTAACAGCCTGCCAAAAGATCTGATCATTTCAAATCGAATTTCTACTTAGAATGTTCACACCATAGAAACACTTCTGAGATAACTCAGCACTATAATGGGACTCCTTCAAGGTTATTTAGGTTAAAACTATGCAAGCCATTTTTACTTTGGCTTTCCGTCTCAGAAGTCTCTGCTGCACCTGTCAACTCATTTCTCAAATGCACAAGTCCTTGCCAGGTTACCCAGCCTCTACGACTCCTGAATCAAGCAACACAAGACCAAGGAAAGCACAAGCACTAACAAGTCTGGCTTGATTATTTTCTGCAAGCTCATCCAATAGTTCCTCAGCGACTGAGTCCAGACTTGAGGAAAGAGGACTGAGTGAGGCCATGATTCCTTGTTGTCATTTTAGATTAGGCCTTTCTGACAGCGGCCAGAACGAGTATTCTGGAAATCATGCAGTCTTTCCTCTGTCTCCTTATATGTGTTGGATAAAAACACATTTCATGTTAGAAACCCCCAGGAAGAGACTGGCCACAGAGGTTGTTGCTTCTATTAAACCCCCTTGCCTAGTTTCTCCCCACCTGAGAGAATCTATACATCCTAATGTCATCCTGCGGCACACACTGGAGGTTTTCTCTAACTCTGCCCTTCTGGCTATCATTTGCTCACAGCTCCGTAGGGCAGTTCCCTCAAAACCATTGCAATTATCTCAACCCATAAAATACCAACAGAAAGCGGGCCTTAGGGTGAACAGAGATTTTTAAAGGGTAACAGTTTTTTTTAAATTAAGTCCGGAGAGGAGAGAAGGCGCGGGGACCGATGCCTGTCACCATCGGCCGGACTTAAGAGTTGGCTGAGAAACCGGACCGGGCTACAGGCCACGCAATTCGAAGTCACCGCTCGGCCTGACCCGGCCCCGCCAACGAACGCGTCCTGGCCCGCTCCCTATCTATGGCTGAGGCCGAAACCGGGCCCAGCGCCCCTGCGTCCGCCACCCCTGCCCCGCCTGCCTCTCGGCCTGGCCGCCGCCTCCGCGATCGCCGCGGTTTTACTGCCGCGGATGCCTCTAGGACACAGCCATACCCGGTAGCCCAGTCACGCCGCACCTCTCTTCACTTAGCCCCAGCCGTCCGTTACGTAGAATTCGAGCGGCTCGTCCGCGCCTGCGCGCAGCGTGCAGGACGGGACGCAGCCCTCCTGACCGCGCGAGACCTCCCGCTCCCGCGCCCCCTGAGGCGGAGTGGGGCTGCTGGGAAAATTACATAATCCGCGCCCCTGGGCCGGAACTGTCCTCGCCTATCCCAATCCTCCTCCCTAAGGTTAGATCAAGCTGACGTCACACTGAACCAGTGCTCCGGAAGCTAAAGGTGGCCATGCTGCGTGGGACCACATGGCCAGAGGCAAGCAGAGGAGTGTCGCTCGAGTAGTATTTGCTAGGGACCAGAGTTTAAACGATCGGCATGTTCGTGTAAATGTGGTTTCTGCCCAACCCGTTTTATGTTGGGGTTTTCGGCCAGCCCCCTGACGCCACTTTTTCTTCACTTTGTCTTCATTCCCAGACCGACTTTCTAGACAGGTCATGAACACTGTCCACCCAACTGCAGTTTCCTGTCAGAGTATCTGAGGAGCCTGTGAGGCGTTCTGGAGCTTTAAGGTCAGGCGCCTTCCGGGAGCCGTAGCCTCCGCCCCGCCCTTTGGCCCGCGCACCCCTCATTGCGCATGTCAGGTTTTCTTCCCCTCCCCCCTCCAGCAACGGGCCGAGAGGCGGTGGCGGTGGCGGCGGCGGCGGCGGCGGCGGCGGCGAAAGGGGTGGAGAGGGAGGAACGCGGCGGGACCTGGCCGGGACAGCGCGTACTTTGGGTCGCAGGATTCTCTCCGCGCCGGCGGTGGTAGTAGCTCCCGCTGCAGCCATAGCAGCAGGTTTGTGCGTGGGGGTTCTGGACTCAGGGCCGCTAGCCCTTGGGGGCACTGGAGGCAACTGTTGGGCCTAGCGAGGGCTGAGGATCGGCGGCCTCGCTTAACAAAGAGTCGGGAGAGCCTCCATGCACTGGCGGCAGGAGTGCCAGGAAGGGGTGGGAACGCGAGCTGAGGCCTGGAGAGCTCCTTCCTAGCCGCGTCGCCCTCCCACGGCTCCCGCTTCCCTCGCAAGTCTTCCATCCAAGTACTAACCAGGCCCGACCCTGCTTAGCTTCCGAGATCAGACGAGATCGGGCGCGTTCAGGGTGGTATGGCCGTAGACCCCTCGCAAGTCTTAACCGAGGCCCAGTTGGCGGCGCCTGCTTGCCTAGGAAAGGGATTTGCAGGGTGCCCGGCTCCGAGGCAGGGATAGCGCGGGGAGAATTCTGATCCAAGGAGGCAGCGCTTGGGAGTTGCAGGCCTCTGAATCTGGGGTCCTGATAGGCAAAAGCTGCCAAATGAGAAGAGTGAAAAGACATAGGCGATGATCTTTGTACAGCCTTGAGTAGGGCGATGATTAGCATCACTGTAGTCACAAACTTTTTTGCGGCCTAGTTGAGAACCTATCTGATGTGAATGAATAATTTATGTGGAGTTGCAAACATGTACATCAAAAACATAGAAGCTGTCGAGAGTTTTGGGGAATTGTATTTTCGTCACTGAGAATTTCCCTCTTGTCCCCACTCCTGTAGGCAGTTATCCAATTTCCTGTGGCTTCCCTGTATATTCTTTTTGTAAATGATGTTTCTGTTTCTGTCCTCCCTCATATACACACCCAGGTCTTCCTAAAGGGCAGGGACTATGTCTTAAATCACTTTGCAGAGCCATGCCCGGTTCTGGCACATAGGAGGTGAGCAATGAGTGTTTCGTACAAAAATTAGCTTTTAGACTTTGAGAGCTGAAGAAAAAAATGTATCTTTCTGTACCTAGAAGAGGCATTGTGTAGCCTAATGTGCAGTTCATTCATTCAAGCTATATTTTCGTTGATGCCTGTTCTCTAACGCCGTTCTAGGTGCTGGAATAGGTGTTAGACCCCCGCCTTTGTGAAACTTAACTTTCTAGTAGCGGGAGGAGAGGCAAACAAATATGTAAATTATACTGAATGTTAAAAGATGACCAGTACCTTAGGAAAAAGAAAGAAAACTGGAAAGGGGTATCGGGACGTGTTGTTGGAATTTGCAATAAAGTGGTCAGGGAAGTTTGGACAGTCTAGCCGATATTGAAGGGGACTAGAAGGAGGAGTGAGCCCTATGTTTATCTGGGGAAAAGAACGTTCCAAGCTAGGAAATAATCAACATAAAAGCCTTGAGGAGGACAAAGCTGGCACCTTAAGAGTGTGAAGACCAACGTGTTTGGAGCACTGTGAGGCGAGGGAGTAATAGGAGATAAGGTCAGGGAAGAATGGAGGGAAAGGAGTGCAGAACAACCAGAGCCTTTTACGCTGTTACTTGGACAGGAAGGATGTGAGGGTTTCCATCAGAGGAATGATATGATCTGATTTATATTGTGAAAATTTAATGTAAGAGAGGAGTGCAATTGTTTAAATTTGTGTTTTGTTACATTGATAGTCATTTAATCAACTCTGTTTAAGCTGACAAAAGAGAAGGGATGCTTCTAAAATAACCATAACCCAGCATTTACTTATATTTAGTTTAGAAGAGTGTGATTAAATTCTTGAGTTTTTGTATAGATTCTCATTAAAGAACTGACCTGTTTATAGTGTGTGAGATACTCTCAAGGTATTATGTAGAGTAGATGCTAATCACTTTTACTAGAACTCTTCCTTCCACTTCCAAAAATACAGTGATAATGTGGTTTATATAATCAGTTGTTTTTAGTCTACTATATTTCAAGTCATTTAGATCATATCTTATTTTCCACCATTGCCAAAAACACAAACCAGCTAAATTGTCTTCCTTTATAAGCACGTTTCACATTCATTCTCACTTCGTAGTCTTCGCTAGTCCAGTCTTTCTCCCTAGAATGTCTTCCTCTGCACATCTCTACCCAGCTTGCATCTTTCTTTGCCTAGCCTGCCTTCTGGCTCTCTTATGAAGCTTATCCCTGATTGTTAGCTCGTGGTGATCTCTGACATCTTCAGTGTTTTTTTTTTTTTGAGGAGCCTCGCTCTTTCGCCAGGCTAGAGTGTAGTGGTGGGATCTTGGCTCACTGCAGCCTCCACCTCTGGGGCTCAAGCAATTCTCTGCCTCCGCCTCATGAGTAACTGGGATTATAGGCACCCGTCACCATGCCTGTCTAATTTTTTGTATTTTTAGTACAGATGGGGTTTCACCATCTTGGCCAGTCTGGTCTTGAACTCCTGACCTCGTGATCTACCCGCCTTGGCCTCCCAAAGTGCTGGGATTACAGGCGTGAGCCATGACACCTGGCCATCTTCAGTGTTCTTGTGGCACTTAGGTGTTCCATATCTGAGTTGAAAGAAGTCTGATATTCTCAATTTATCAATGTAGAAATTGCTTCTTCAGAAATAATGTAAATAATAATGAAAAACACGATGGCAGCTAACATATTGAACAAGTACATTATTGTGTATGAACTTAATTTTTCACACCAACCCTTGTGATAAGTAGGTGATAGTCTCATCTTTTTTTGTGTGTGTAGTGGTGTCTCACTGTGTTGCCCAGGCTGGTCTTGAACTCATGAGCTCAAGTGATCCGCCTGCCTCAGCCTCCCAAAGTACTGAGATTACAGGCATGAGCCACCACACACAGCCTCTCACCATTTTATAGATGAGGAAACTAAACCCAGAGAAGCTAAACAACTTCCCTGGGGTTCATATCAAGTTATTAGCAAAGATATACACATAGCCTGTGCTACTTTACTTTTCTGTTAAGATTTCCTACAAAACCACAGCGTTTTATTTATTTTTTCAGGACAGCATCTTGCTTTGTTGCCCAGGTTAGAGTGCAGTGGTGCAATCAGCTTACTGTAACCTGGAACTCCTGGGTTCAAGCAATCCTCTTGCCTCAGCCTCCTGACCAGCTGGGATTACAGGCGTGTGCTACCATGCCTGGCTAATTTTTAATTTTTTTTTTGGTAAAGACAGGATCTTGCTGTGTTGCCCAGGCTGGTCTCTAACTCCTGGCCTTAAGTGATCCTCCCACCTTGGCCTCCCAAAGGGCGAGGATTACAGGTGTGAGCCACCTCACCCAGCCAGACATAGCATTTAGTGCCTAGAACCATACTGAATAGGACTTCATGCCATCTTGAATCTCTCTCCTCAACCTAGTTGTAGATCTCCTTTAGTCTTTTACATATTGAATAAATGAGTATCTAATATTGAAAACATACTGTTTCAATAAGAGAGAAAAATGAATAACCCTGTTTTTTTCCACCATGAATCCTACAATGAATTGGACTGGAAAGGGAGTTTGTGGAAGGAGATGCCCTTTCTCTGGAGAAATCATATTCATGTCTTTAGGAGTTGGTATTTGAGATGGGCTTTGAAGGATAGGACTTTGGTAGGTACTTAAACTTTATAGGAAAGAGATTTGATGGGGATGGAATCCAGGTAGAGGGAAGAGCATTCACCAAAGTGCTTGTTTTCTTGGAAACCAGTACGTGTGGAGAGCCCTTGGGAAATATGAATGGTAGTTTGTTGCCACAGTGGAGGGTCTCATTCCAGCATGATTAACTGTGGAGAGCTATGGAATTGAAGAGAGTGACAGAGTCAGAAACATGTGTTCTAGGAGAACTTGGAAAGGGTTTTCGATAAGCATCTGAATACTGACCTCCCTTCTGTGAGACTTTTTCTAGTTCCACAGTATTAACACACACTATGCTACTCTACCAAAGGAGGTAAAACTTCATTTTCTCTTTTCACTGTATGTTTCACTGTTACTTCATCATTTTATACTTTATTACATAGAATCACTTCTCATAGACTATAGAAGATTTGCTGGTTTTCGATGAAGCATCTGGATGTACATTGCCATTATTTTCCAATAAAAACAGACATTCTTGGGACAGTAGAGTTGTTGGGGGAGGATTACCTGTGAAATGTCATTCATCTCAGAGAGGCCTTTCCTGACTTAAGTCTCTAATAGCTTGCCTCTTACCTGCTTGCTTTCCTTTCATAGCACTTTTGCTACCTGTGATTACATGATTTAGTTTTTCTCTCTCCTGGGCCAGACTGTGTGCTCCCTGAGTGCTGGGGCTGTGTCTGATTCCATTACTGTATCCTTAGCACCTTAGAGCAGTTACTGGCACAAAATAGGCCCTCAGTATATTTTGACTTAGTGATCACTCTAGTAGTGCTGTGGGAGCTGGATAATAATCAGAAAGATTTTTTAGGAAATAATCGCAATAGTGAAGGTGGAGATGGAAAGGCTACTGGGCACATAACAAAATCATTAGTGGTTACTGGTCAGTAAAAAACAATGGATGTTATTACTACGAACCAACTTAGATGGTTCTCTTTTAAGCAAATGCACATTAAACTTTATTTGTGACTCTAGTATACAGCTAATTCTTTTCAAATTAGGTATTTAATTTGGATTCTTTTTTAAATTTTTTTTTTTTTTGGCACCCCAGCAGGAAATGAAGAAATTCTTTCTTAAGAGAAAAAATTAAAAAATGCAGTTGCATTTTCACAAGTGTGTTTGTATTTTAGAAACTGGGGCCTAGATAGCATATTGCTCCCTCATAATTTGTTTAAAATAACAACCTAAAAATATG